CCAAAAAGAAACGGCAGAACGGTCATAATAATGGAATTATATTATAGCAATCGTTGTCTTTTGAAAGTTAGACCATAATTCCTATGATTCCAATATTAGGTCAACCCTTACTAAGTGTTCAATTGTTCGTCTCAACGTAACTCTCATGTCAATCGACATGGATATGATTATATGAGTTGTGAGACTCTTGCGGGTAGGTTAATTACACCATGGTCGGAGGCAATGGCATGCTCAGAATTAAAAGAAAAATATAGCAGGTGTGCCTCGTCAAGAAGGCCCCCAGACCATCTTTCTTTTTCTGTTTTCAGCCACCTGTCGCCAGAAAGTCAACCGAAAAAGTGATATTACAAATTTCATTTTAAAAAAATAATCCAAATTGAGCCGAAAAATCCAAAGAGAATGATAGTTTGTTGGTCTCATTAACGAGGCGCATCTCCCAATATTTTTCTTTTAATTTTTTGGAAACTTTTGAAAATCGAAGTTAATTTTTCAAACAGTGTTAGACGTTATGCCTCAGCTGTGATATCAGAATTGAAAACATGTTCGACTTTGCTAAAAAATGAAACATATGCCCCAATGTGAAAATGGCTCAGCCAGTACATTTCCCTATTTAAAAATAACATTGGTCAAACCTAAACATCTTTCACCATGTCCATGATATGAGTCTTATCTTTTACACTGAACTAAAAATAATTTTCATAAAATAATAGCGTCAAATGTGGTCAAAGTATAGAATGGTAATAGTGTAAAATTCAACATGTTGTGATTAAAACAGAACGGATGATAGTATTATTAATATCTCATTTAAGTATATATACTTTACATGATGGTGGAAATGGATAATTTGAAAAAGATTTTGCATATTTCAAAGTATATCATTTGATTATAACAAAAAGAGTTTACTTGTTTAAGATGTGCAGTTCTATGATATCATTGGTGTGAGGGAAAACCCAATATATATATTTCCATCGCTAGAAAACCGTGTTAGACAAGTCACTCATATTTCCTTATGGCTTTCCCTGTTCTGTCGAGTCCGTATATCAGCATGGCCGGTTTTACTCATTAATTTATTGTCCCCCCTCTTTGGGCTAAAGGGACATCTTCAAGTATTTGACCTCCAAAACTTGATGTAAATAACAAATTCATATACCTCAAGAATAAGTGTTATTTACTACTCCCTCCGTCCCAATTTGTTTTGCAAAGTCAACATTTTTTTGTCAACCAATAATAAAAGTCAACCCTCCGTATGGATAATTAATTCAATTTTTAATAATTAAATTTACATATTCATAAACTACATTAAAATATCTTCAAAGTTGTAAACTTCAAATTAGAACATAATTAATGATTGACATCCAAATTAAGTGAACAAAACGAGACTGTTTGACTAAGAAAAGTCAAATTTGCATCTCTTTTTGGGACGGAGGTAGTACTAATTTTTATGCAATGCTTTTTGTTTTTATATTTTACCCCAGAGGGCATCGGGGGAGGGGGTTTGGGGACCTGGGGTAGACTGGGATCAATCTCACTCAATTGAGAATTGAACTCGGGACCTCCCATAAGGAAGAGTGAGTCGGCGAACAGCTGAGCTGGACCGCTTCCTCATGCAACGCTAACTAAAATACTAATGTATGTATTACATGTTTTACGTTAAATGTCAACATGCTTGATTAAGATGACACTCACTCGAATAGACAACATGCGATTTCTTTTTTAGGAAAGACCACAGTGACGTCATCATATCACAAAATATTTGACAAATGCACTCATGACTCATTTAAATGTTATCAATAGAACGTGTTGAAGTTTGATATGGTCTAATCTGATCTAGTGTAGTCTGGAATGAACTGGTGTGATCCGGGACTGATTTAATTCCAAGTGAAGACATCTTAATACATTCCCACATTTCCTAAAAATTAAAAATCCGTTTACATAAAAAAATGTACATGTCTTTAAGGCGCAATGTCCGCTTCAGTACCATTAAAACTCGCTTTCATCATTCTCTTAATGATTTCATAAAAACCTAAATGAACAAAATGTTAGAATTGTCATTAAATTAGCTAGTTATAAGAGGAAGGTACACTCAACTATCCGATATAATATGTCGTTCCCGATATGGTTCTTACTTTTTAACCTACACACCAACGGCCCCACCTATTATAATGAGGATAAATTAAAAGTAATTAATGAATGATGGATACAAATTTATACAGTATAATTGCTCTATATAGTTAACGTTGACTTCGATTAGTGATGTGATAAACTCACAAACTATAGTAGTTAGTCTATTCACTAATAACTATTATTATAACAACTTAGTTAGCTTACCACACTTAATAAGACACTTAGGTTGAGTCCCATATTAAATAGGAATGGTATAGGAGATCAGATGTACGTATAGTAACAGAGAATCCGCACATGCATTGACGGTGGCAAGTCATTATAGAGAAAAACAACTGATTCTGATTTTTAAGTAAACACACATTCACACATTACATTTTTGAGTTAATTCCTAATCTAGGAGTAAAGCATGATCAAAAAACAAAAATAGGAGTAATAGTTTCAATTTTCACAAAATAGGAATTTTTGTGATTGGACAAAGATACCCCTGCAGGTAGTGACGGAACCAGAAAAATGAACTAGGGTCGAAACTTAGCTATACATAGAATTAGAAAGGGTGGATCGTTTTAAAATAGTAATCTGAGTTGAATGTTTCATATATAACTAAGATAAATGATAGTTTAAAGGGAAAAATAGTTAAAATACCCCAAACTTTGAAGGAGAATGAGATGAACACCCCAAACTTGCATATGTATTTTAAATACGTCAAACTTTATATATATAAATGGTTATTTTGGCACCATAGTCAAGTATTATTTCTTTCAAAAATGTAAATTTATGGTGTTAATTGCATAATTTAAAATATTTTAGAATTCATGAAGACACAATTATTAACATTATAAACTTCCGTTGCGAAATAAATAATGTTAGACCCTCAATCTAGATAATTGCAACAATTTTAATTTTCTATTTCAAATTATGCAAATAATCCCATAAATTTACATTTTTGAAAGAAATAATGCCTCATAATGGTGATAAAATAACTTTTTAGATAAAGTTTGGAGTATTCACATTACATACACAAGTTTGGGTTGTTCAATTCACATCCCATCAAAGTTTGGGGTATTTTAATTTTTTCTCCTAGTTTATATGATACTAATAGAGTTATAATTTTGATATATATATATATATATATATATATATATATATATATATATATATATATATATGTCGTATATATTATAAACTTGACGTGAACAATATGTAAATAAGATGCTATTTTTTCAACTGTTGGAATATAATCAATATTTTGCATCAAATTTTACGCATTTTAAGTTTAGATAGAGCTGATTTTAGAAAAGTCATAACTTGTTACTCGTAATGAGTTACAAGAGTCATAATATATCAAACTAAGGTATTTCAGAGCTCTATATTCTCAAACTTCCAATGAGGTCGGCTGACCACCTTGACCCTCTAGCTCCGCCCCTGCCTGCAGGTATTAGCTACACAGCCCATTGTTGCCCACTACCACATGCCGCCGTCTGCCTCCGGCCACTTGAGCTCCAACGGCATCCGCTACCGACATCCACATCCCGCCACAAGTCGCCGAAGCTCCGGCGGTGCAAAAAGAAATCTACAATTTTTTTCTCATTATGTCTGTCGCGCGCCGCCGCCACCACCACTATCAAACTACTCCCGCCACCAATGGACTAGCCCGATTGTCCAAGGGAACTAGTGGGGCAATTAATTAATTAATTAGAACATAGATATTAGGGGTAGAAAATTAATGTCATCTTAAACGTGGGACCTGGTACCCTACTTGGGTTGTACTAGGTTTGATTTCGAAATGGGACCGTACTTTTAGTCTTCTGGAACCAAGTGAAAAGATTTGATGAACATGTTTTCAAATTTGAAAATGAAAAACTAAAAAATGAAAACAGAAAATTGGAGATAGAAAAACTGGAAAATGATAACAGAAAATTGGAGAACGGAAAACAAAAATAGTAAACTGGAAAATATCTCTTGTACTAAATAGGCCCTTAACTTTTGATTCATTGCAATGTCATCTTATGTATAGACTTTAGAGCAATGCACCTTTTGTATTAGAAAACAACATGTTCATTTACAAAATATATACATATGAAAAATATCATGTAAGAAATAACTCTTAAACTGAAACCTCCTAGTCCCATCGTCAACTTGCAACTTGCAAGGCCGCCATTCCTGAATTAATAGCCCAAATAAGGGTTTAATGCACCAAACCCCCTCGTGATATAGAAATTCAACACATTAGCCCATGTGATTTGAAAAATGCGTCAAACTCCCTTGTGATTTAATTAATCATGCACAGAACCCCTTTTATGAATAAATTTAACGATTTGGAAATCATTTTTTCTAATATTCTCATTGAATATGCAAGTAAATATGTCAAAATCTCTAGATCATACAAAAATGTTAATCATTTTTCTTTTACTTGACAATTGAATTTGTTCATAGAAGGGATTTTGCGCATAATTATATAAAACACAAGGGGGTTTGACGCATTTTTTAAATCATAGGGGGCTTTGGTCACTTGGTGCATTAACTCTGCCCAAATAATAGCTTCAAAGTGATATTATTCCACAGAACATCTAATCAAAAGAAAATGTCGAAGCTTTATGACATAGAACGGTAGAACCTGTTATTGATGAATTATATAGACTATGTCTATGAAACTTGGGAGAAACCTGGCAGGAAATATACGAGGACGGAGGACAGCGCCATTAGAATTCACAAGAAGCTCTCCCTTTTCCCAATCATTTGCTTCTTTCTGAGATATGTTTTTCACTTCAGCATTGTTTTGATTATCATATTGGGGAAAGGGTAAAGCGGTTAACGAAAACAAAAACAAAACAGAAAAAGATGGGCTTTAACTAGTCTCCAGTGAACAGAGATCAATTTGGAGCTCAACCAGCATGTTTAACAGATGAAAGATTTGCAGTTCCTTAACTGAGGCAATCAAGCAGAAAAGCAGTTCCTTAACTAAGGCTATCAAGTGTAGCAAGCACTTTTGTGACTAACAGTACAACATATATAGATTATCAGTTAAACAGAGATGAAAAATGGGGTTACCAGAAATATATCAAAACTCAACACAGAAGTTATAAGTCTATCTATAACTGAGTGATATTAATTTGAAGTCACATTCAAAAGAATCATATTCTACTCTCATTGTAGATATATGATGATGTCATTCTACAGATTTCTAGCGTTATATGGATGTCATTCGGAGAAGTACTGCCAGCCAGCAGCAATGCAAGCTACTACTATGACCTTCATGATCAGCTTAGAACTCAAAAAAGATGAAGATGGCAGGGATGGTGACAATGGTTTGTGAGGTTCCCATGGTCGTCCTCTCAACTTAGAATACAATTTGGATAATAACATGGTTGAATGACCTGTCCCTTTTGAGGCTGCAAAGATAGATCCGCCAAATAAGTTTCTCTCAGTAAATTTGAGAATGGAAGTGCCAAATATTTGACTAAAATGGACTGATAAATTATCTGGGAGAGTAATACCTTTACTTTTCAACAAACGCTCTTCTTCGTCAGGACGTCTTCGTAGTGCATTAAGCAGTGACCCAAAGTATAGCGCCAAAACGGTGCACGTAATGGTGATGACATTGTATGGCATGCTAAAATCAGGTGTCGTCAAAGGAACAAGTAAGACTTCTGTGTAGGAAACAACTGGCCTTTCGTACTGCAAATTTGTTAAAATCGCAAGTGACATTAAAAAAGATTGTCACTTCTTTTTGTCTTTTCTGGTACAAAATTATAAGTACCTGTAGTTTTGATAAAATAGGCACTGTGATGGTAGAGTTATCCTCAGCTAGATGCAAGCTTGTTGTGAACTCGGGGAAGCTAACCACAGCTGATGGGATGTCAAATCCCTGATCAGCATCAGGTGGATATTCATCGATGTGTAGAAACCCCTGTAAATGGTTTTGAACCAATGAAAAAATAATTGTACATAGATGCTTGACATGTAATGAATTCTGAGGTTCATGATGCCCGTTTCATAAAAAGTGACTCCATGTGTCTCTTTTTATCCACTCTTTGCTTTAAATGAAAGCATTCCATTGTTGATATTATTTCTCTATTTTGTAAACAAATCTCAAACAACTAGTTTTCATTTTAAAAGTTGTGCTAAAGTCAAAAGGGGAGATTTTAAAGGACAAAGGGAACAATATTTTCTTAAACATAAAAAATTCCTCAAAAAAGTGAATAGAGAGAGACTATTTACAAAGTCAAAAGAGTTAACCAGCGGACACATTTACCAATAGGAGTAACAGAATGGGGTGCTCATTTCAGTTTCACAATAGTTAATAAGTTCATATAGCTAAAAAAGGTTGAGTTGATGCATTGAACTTGCTACTATGCACAGGTACTGAATTTGATCCTCATGGACCTCAACTTTCTTCAGGACCTAATTTAGTCCTCGTGCACATTTAAATATAAAAAACAAGAAGGGTATTTGTATTCGTTGGGGACTAAACTTAGTCAAATTCAGTCCTAAATTTAGTAAACAGACATAAATGCCCTTATTGAAATCCATATGTTGTGAGGGATAATTTGAGCCCAAATTTAAAAGTAGGACCATACTTGGTATTAAGTTATAAACTAATAAACTAGTTGACCAAACTAAACAATAGCATATAGCTAAATCAGGTATTGACTAAAAGTTTTATGCATTAAGATTTCGACCTTGGCATGGTGTTTTTTGCATACCTTGTCAAACTCCAGGGTCAATACAGCTGACTTCACATCACATGCTAATCTCACCGTAAGCTCCATTATTCCGGGTGAAACCTTGTCTTCAGAAGGTGATACCCGCACCTTCTCAATGATATCTTCTACAGATTTCACATGTCCATCCAGAAAAATCTTAAGTGTATGATAATAGACCTTCACATACCAAGGCACAACATGGAAAATACTGACCCGCAAAAAGCCTTTTCCATCTACCGCAGTAGCACACTGTTTATTGTCACTAATTTTTGTGGTCGTCAAAGAGATAGCTATTGCACCCCCTACATTCCCGCTTCCCATTAGGAACCTACTTGCATGCAAGGGTGCTAACTTACTTGACCACCTAACTGGTAGCTTCCACCTGAAGCCCAAATCAAAAGGTTTGGATTGTGTGTAATTTTCAATCGAAAATTCAAAGAGGATGGATTTATCCTCTTCCACTGAGCCATATTCTTCTTTTATCACCCTAACAGGAGGCAAAGACATTTCAAATGTTGGGCTTTTCCATGAACCTTCTGATATATCACCTTTCTTCAACTTAGATACTAAATTCTGCTCAAGATGGACATACACACTGCTAGACTGGGAAAGAGAGCATTTTTCGTAAACTTTTCTTCCGAACAAAGAGCTAAGAGACCAGCTAGGTTGTACTACCAAGCCATCAAGAGCATTCATTCCAGCTTCAAAAGTGTTTGGTTGAAGGACTGTTGTAAGGGTTTGTTCAAGTACTATTCCAGAACTTGATGCTAAGGACCGTTCGCCTGAAAAAGTTGTGATGAAATATTTTTAAGACCTTGCCTAGTCTGGAACTCTCTGATCTGGAGTCAGTGTGTAACTAGTATTCTAGTTTAATATGGGCAGTAAATGTTTGTGATCTTGTCAAAAAAACAAGTGCCTGAAATATAACATCTTGTCTGGTATGGTCTTCCTGGTCTGGTTTGGATCTTTATGTCTTGTCTGATCTAAATGTTTTAAGTCAAGTCTGGTGAATTGAATTAAGAGTATATAATAAGTAAAAAGAATAAGGTGAAGAGAACAAACCTAAATCAAACTCATCTGAAACTAAGTGCAATCTTTGAGAGTGATAAAATCCTCTATATAGAGATGGTCTGTCCATTAATGCGGCAATTCCAGATTTATCTCGACAAGGAAGCAATTTTAACCAGGGAGTAAGGTTCTCAGTACAAACAGACTCGCGGGGTAGTGATCCATATCTGAAGTTTCCAGAAACTAACGGGAAACTCCACCTCGGAGAAGTATAAGCAGTTGATGACTCCAAGAAGTTAATGGAAGCACAAAAGAGGCCTGAAAGAGCATGTGTTAGATTCTTCCAGAAGGATTCAACTTGATCTTCAGGGACATCAAAAACAGCCCAGAGTTCAACACCAGGGGGCTTTGCATTGCTGCTCACAATTGGATCATATCCACCCCACTGTTCATAATTCCACCGACCTTGTGTGAAAGACAGCTCCATTTCTCGTATGTGATATTTATGTACCTAAATTGCAGTGCAAGGTTAGTGCAAAGTGTGAATCTCTTTACTTATCTAGAATTAGAATCACACATCGGAATATTAAAAAGAAGGGTCTACAAGATCTTGGATAAAACTAGCTAATTGATTGGATTCAATCTTTTAGTGTGATTAGGCACAAGTGTTGTATGGCCCAATTGAATGTTTCCTGCCCAAACTTGAATTCTATCATCTACAACAACACCCAAGCCTTATTCAAAAAAGATTTTGGGGTCAGCTTGATTTATATCATCAAGATTAAACTAAAAAGGCTCTATCCCATGCATACGGGGAGGAGAGAATTCAAAGAAAAACAGAAAAATAAAATTCTTTTTTCAAATTTCTTACCAACTTTACAATAATTATATTTGCTATTCTGTACAACCCATTATGTCACAGGAGTCAAAGCAAGAGCATCCAGATTGAAGCATTTCATGTATTTAAGGTATACTATGTTTATACTTTGTACTCTTCGATAACATGTTTCATTGTGGTACTTGCATGCATTCCTGTAAAAAGCCTTATTGAGACAATTTGAGCCTTTTGCAGTTATTTGCTGCCAATCAGAACAAAGTAAAAAGTTACTAATTGAAGATACAATGCAAGAGACCCCAAAATGAGATTCAGTATGGAGAAGTATCTAATTTATTTTGCAAGTTTCATCAAACCCCAATAATTGACCGATGAAGTGAGATATACTAAAGCTACTCTTCCCCTGAATGTTTTTCCCGATTTCCTTTTTTGGCTATCCATTCATTTTCATTCATTCAGAGAATTGTGTGGTTGATATTGATTCTTCTATACATGAACAAATCTATAACAAATTGATTCTTCTATACATGAGAGGAGCAAGTGGGGAGGGAGAGAATATTATATATAGTAGAGTTTGATGCCCACATTCGTGCAAATTTCAAACACCCAACAGTGTTAACTACAGCTTCCTACATGCAATTTAGTAACAAATTATGAAAGAAAAAAAATAAACAAGCAGTTAATCAAGCTATTAAAAAAATCAGTGAGAATAAAAAACAATGAATCAGATCCAGAAGCATATTATATTAAACCGCTAGCTAAACAGAACATAAGTAAATATGTAAAGAGAAATGATTTACGAGTTGATAAATTGATTTGGGGAAGAGATGATGATGCCGGCCATTAGTGCCAGTTGGTGGAGCTTTGCTTTCGAAGTGGAAATGGGAAAGCACTTTGCGGTCAGGGAGAGGCCTCAAAAGAAGCGCTTCTGAGAACTCCTCTTCCCCAGCTATTATTGATCCGTAGCTCAAAAAGAACGTAAGCAATATCAACATTGACTTTAACCAAACCACCTCTGACATGCCTTTCCACCAAAATAAGAGAATCAACATGGGGTGTGGCCAAGGTCTCAAATTTGTTGACAATTAGCTGGAAATTAGTAGATGTTGAATCAGCCAAAAGAAAATGCAAAATATTGTGTACGAAATTGAAGAAGAAAAATACAAAAAAAAAAACAAAAGAAACATACCTTCAATGAATCAGTTATCAGCCATCCTTGGTTGTCCACCTATCGACCAAGGCAAACCCCCACGCAATCGGATCTACCAAAACGAATCATCTCCCGTATCTGTCACCTCTGCACGACGAAGACAGAGATGCTGCAGTGAAAAACTGCGATTCCCGGAGTCGTCAAGGTCTGACCTTTTGGTCTAAGTCACCAATGAAGCTAAGCCTATACATGAGCATTCGGTCGGTTGGTTCAGACCGAAAACTGAATGACCAAATGAAAATTACTACTCTAATAACTTATCGAAACTGACAGAATGATCCCTATAACTAAGTAGGAGAAAAAATTTGTCCGGCTAAGCCCGGTGACTGCATAACCAAACATACATAACCACATATAGACTATGGAGCTTTATCGGATGTAGTATTTCTTATTCTTATTAGACATCCGTGTGAGCACAAGGGAAAAAGGGGAGGGGAGATTTTTTCTAAAGCTTGCATATTTACACTGAACTCGAAAGCAATGATGTAAGTAAGTTGGACTTGCATACATTCGGGATAGTCAGTTTTAAAAATAGGCCCACTGGTCTCATTTGGTTGATACTGTCATACTGATCTTAGATGAAAGGGTCCCACTGTGAAGAAGCTGAGAAATCCAGCATTAGCACTCATGGAAGCTTACCAATCGGTATTTTTGCTCACCCCCACCCAAGAGGCAGTAAGATCTAGCCATTTAGGACAGATAAGAAAAAACACTTTTGTCTAGTTGGAATAACAACAAAAAACATACAATCTCATATTCTCATCAAACTCAATAGGAGAATACAGCGGTAAAAAGGGCAACCCATTCGACCCTTAAATGGTTCTCTATCTGGTTTATATCAAGTGTTGTTTTGGTGCAAATGTCACAAATTAACATCCACAAAAAATGACGATTTGCCCCTTTATGTCCTACTACCATTTGAAAATTATGGAAGACTAAAGAGCAGGAGCGGACCTAGCATTTTAATCCAGTGTCGTCCAAAAATTAAATACTTATAAAATAACTTCAATCGCAACAAAAAAGTAAAATATAAAAACAAATTTCCCAGATGCTTTACAAGAATATGACTTTTCATCAAAGTCAAATAGAAAAAACACATCACAAATTCACAATTCTATACGGAATTTGCATGGACTGACATTGCTTGATAACAAATTCAATGTCAATTTCCAGGATGATTTTTATTCAGGAGTGCAGAGTACTAATCAGATTAATACTAGGCAACGTGCAGGACCGGTCCTGTCGATTTCAAGGCCTAGGGGCGGGAAACGTATAATGGGCTTAATCTTAAGAAAATGCAAAAACCACCTTTTCTTGTCTAAACTAACATGCATAATAATATGTGAAGACCTTTATAATAAAGAAAAGACTTTTATAATTCGTTAAATTATAAAAAGAAAGTGTTATGTAACATATGGGGGTTGAACGGTTGAACCTCGTGGGAAAGAAGAAAAGAATAGGCATAGTGGCTCATTGACTCTGCAGCTTTGCAACTATCCAGCTAGTCTTGATCCATTCACCTCGTGGGAATGTGATATAAAGCAGAATCTGGGCTTGGACGAAGAGGGGCAGAGGCCCCCGTGGGTTTACTGAAGGCGAGTTTAGGGTTTAGGCTTGGGCAATGGTTGTTAACCGTTGATTATTTTATTTCTGTTCTCATCAGAATGATAGAGTCAATAGTATCTCATTGACTCTGCAGCTTTACAACTATCCAGGCGAGCCTTGATCCAATAAGCCAATTAAAAACTCAAAACAGAAATGTAAGTACAGTCCGCTGGGAGGAAGGACAAAGGTTGTCCAACACTTCATTACACCCCAAATTGGGGTGTTAAAAAAATGATAAATATAGGTGTTAGGAAGGTTATGATTAACACCCTCAAACACTTATTAACACTTCTGATTTTTTTTTCTTCTCCCAAACAAGTGTTAAACTAAACACTCCTTAACACTTCCATTACTAACACCCGCTAACACTCAATCCAAACAGGCCGTTAAGGCTGGCGCCTTACGAGGGCTCTCTAAACCATGAGCATAGTTAGAACTTAGAAATGTGTATCATATAGTCTAAGGAAAGCCTGAACATATTAACTTTCCAAAAAACGTATTGGAATTTTGAAAGAAGGGAAGTAGGGAGTTATGAAACAAGCTGTAGAGCCAAAGTTATGAACGGGCAATGAACTATTTTACATATGTGTGATTAGACTAATTACCAAATAACAACAAATTAATTATATAACAAGTTTTAATTACACATTAAGTTTTAGCAAGTTTGACATAACAAGTTTTTAACAAGTTTTACTAATTACACAAAATAACAGTTTAATTACAAAATCACAATTTAATACACAATCTATAAAAAAAATAGTAAAAAGTTGTACTCCGTATTACTAAAAGTCATCAGTAAAAGAGGCGTAGCTTCTGAACTATCTGAAGTGTACCTCACTGCAGCGTACCAGAAGCAGTTGGTCGATGAGTCGATCCTCAGATACCTATCTCCTCTTTTCCCGAGTCCCAACTCGGCAAGACTATAAGCAACGATTGAAATTCAGAAGCGTGGAGGCGTGAAGCCTGAAGTACGGAAGATTCGAAGACTATAACCGCGCCAATGGCCTCGACGACTTGGCCTTGACGTTCGTCGATGTCGATCCTATTGGCTGCTCAAGTCCTCTTTCGGCGGCTGAATCACTTGCTTCTTCCTTACTGTTTTTTGAGTCTTTTTTTTTTACTTTATTCTTATGGAGTCTTTTGACACTTCTTTTTTTCAACTAAAGGTACCCCAAAATATACCTCATTTTTACTCCATCTTCTAACGTGTGGCCATAAATGAGGCAATTCACTTAAGTGGGGCACCACTTAAATGAATTGGCTCATTTATGACCATAAATTAGGGATTGGGGTAAAAATGAGGTACACTTTGGGTACTCCTAGCAAAACTTTCTTTTTTTACTGTATTTTTTACTAAGTTTTCTTCAATCTCATCTGTTGATTCAATCCCATCCGTTGATTTAAAAAAAAGTATTTAAAATTTGTTTTATTAATAACGTAAAGAAAAAATTATACTCCGTATAAAAAATAATTAAAATGTTCATCAACCAATTTAGACAGAAAATAACTTTAATCTTGCTTATTTTGATTATTAAACCATATAGCTACGCGTTCGTTGAAAAAGTCGACCGATAAAGCTGGTAGAATTATTGGTTTAGGACTTTAGGGCCTACTTACACCTGAATTCTTTTTCAGTTCTTTTGGGCTTACGGCCCCTGTCCACATGCCCGCTCCTGGATAAGCTCACCAAGCAAATTGAGCACACAAAAAAGGATACATCAGAAACTAAACGGGCTGGGTACAATCGTCACTGAGGATGATGAATAGGTATGTTATTAATTGAACTGAAATTTTCTAGTCAGGTTTGGTCTGGTCTGATCTGCTAAATGTTCGGTCTCTGTGTATTTTATAACTATTCAATTCTGGTCTGGTGAGATCTGGTCTGATCTAGGTCTGGAAACAGTCCAAGTAAAAACATGTAAAATCATTGTGCTCATTTCAAACTCCGTAATCTTATTTACTTCTATACAAAAATAGGTGTTTTCTTGCATTTTATTTCGATGTTATGATAGAAGTGGACTATGAAGTAAAATGTGAGTTATATTTTGCTCTTGAAAGACTTGGTTGAAATAACACTGCTCTCTAGAAGCTAAGTGTTGTGAAAATATCTATAAGATGTTCCTGTAATAAAAAAAAAAGCAAAAAGAAAACAGCATGAATGCTTCTCTCTCGATATATATAGAATAATAAGGTGACGTTTTTTTCAAATTAGAGACAAAGGTGGCAATAGCATGAGCAGCTCGATTTTCAAGGTGATAATATATACTTGTACATGATGTTCTAAAAGGCGTAAGGCGTTAGTCGGGGTGCCAGTAGGGGCGGATCCAGGATTGAGATGTGGGGTGGACTAAGTACAAAGAAAAACTGTTACTATGAATGCAAGGTCTAGCTCAGGGCTGTTATCGAATTGAGCTTTTTTTTTAATTATATACTCGAGCTCGAGCTTGATTTTGCCTCTAATTTAATGAGACGAGTTTAACGAGCTTTGGACTCGAACACATACTAGGTTTCGAGTTTGAATAATTATTCAATCATAGTTCGAACATAGTGATTTTGGTTTGATCCGAACTGAAGCGAATCGTTCACTTACAAATCATAGGAATAAATTATATACGGAGTATATCTTAAAATTTAAATGTTTTTAGTGCAATTTTATAAATTTATTAATGATGAGTAATGGTCCGAGTATTTATTGAATAATTCGAACATGAATCTATTAAAGAGTATAGTCTAAACTTCTACATTCGAGCATGTTTATCATGTGTTAAAAATGAACACCGAAAATCTATCGAACCAAACTCAAGCTCAATATTGGTATGAATTAAAATACTTCTATAAAATTATAAACTAATAAGAAAAAAACAAGTGTTGTGCATCAAACTAATACTTGTTCCCAATTTCAAAATTCAATTGAAATTTTCAATTCTTTCTTACACGTCCACACAATAAATAAATCATTCTCTAATTTTCAATTGTATAATAAATAGATCATTCTCTAATCTTTTATTCTATTTTTAATCATTATAAATTTATAATTAATTAAACACTATTTTATATGTACTGAAAAATTCAATTAATTATTTTATATAAACCTAAAAGGCTAAAAATAATAACACTGTTGGCGGTGTTAAACTAATCATCTAAAGTAATCAAACTTATTCCCTATTATCAATTAATTATCTAAGATTTAATTCTATTTTTAGTCATGATAAATTTATAATGAATTTTTGCCCTATTTTATTATGCACTGAAAATTTCAATTAATAATCAAATTGATTAACAAATGGACTAACCATAACACTCTAAAAGGTTAAAATAATAATACAAGTTAACACAATCACAAATAAGAGAGTAAAAATCTAAAAAAAAAATTGTCATAACTAGGATTAAAACAATAACAAAGTTCCAAAAGAGGAGTTTATGTTTATTTATTCCCCAAATAGAAGTTATTAATTAGGTGCACCGTTTCTTCTTCCCATTATACCCTTCTTGAATTTTCTTCCGACAAATCTTTTCACGCTGCTCTGCTCTACACCCTCTCTGCATACTCTTTCCCCTATGAGCTGCTCTCCCTTCTCTCATCTTTTCTCAACAATTTCTGCTCACAATCATAGCAATTTCACCTCTCCGATGGATTTCGTGGTCATTGTTCTCTCTGGCAACCAACGGCGATCTTTAATTATAGGTATGTTTCTATCTTCATCTTTCTCCTCTTCTTCTTCCCCTTCTTCCTTTCTTCCCCTTCTTCTTCTTCTACCTTCTTCTTTCCCTTTTTATTGTTTCTTTTCCTTTGCTTGACTGCTGTTTGATTACCTTTTTTTCCTTCATTTTTTTTTCATCTTGATTTCCAGATCCGTCTTTTTCTTGCTTTCTAATTTTCCTTTTTTGCTCTTTCAATTGTTCTTTTGGCTTTTGCTCTTTAAAATTTGCATCGTTTACCACACAAATTATACCACAGTAATTTTTAAATTGATTTCAATTTGCTATTTAGATCTAGAAATTTTGGATCTTATTTTTTATTTTTTCGAATTTATATGTTTAAAAAAATTGAATTAAAATACTTTTTATCCTTTTCAATCGAAAAATTTTTATTCAAAAATTGAATAAAATATTTCTTATCCTTTTCAATCTGAAATTTTTATTCAAAAGTTTGAATTAAAATATTTCTTATCATTTTCAATCTAAAAATTTTTATTCAAAAATTGAATTCAAATATTTCTTATCCTTTTCAATCTTGACATTTTTATTCAAAAATTAATGCCATCTCAAGATGGAGATATTAGATCTTTTAAGAGCACATCACTTGTAATGCCATGTTTTCATTCAAAAAAATATCATAATTTGGCAATTTGTGCCATTACAAGGATGGTGCTATTTTGCCATTTAGTTCCATTATATCAGTTATAATGCCATGTTTTCATTATGAAAATTGAGATTTTGGCAATTAATGTTAAGATGACACTAAATTGGTAAGATGGCATTTCATTGTAGTTCTAAGCGCAGGACATAGATCTACAACAATCTCACCGGAGGAGAAGGCAGCAGTGCCAGAAGACACGGTTTTAGTGCTATATGAGGTGGGCGGCAACGACCATGCCTGACTAGGTGGCCTGTGACGGCGATTCAGATGCAGTGGTCAGCAACAACCATTAAATATGTGGCGGCCAAAGACAATGTTTCAGGGGGCTGCGACCAGCGACGTCGATTTCTATTTTAGCGACGGTGATTTTAATTTTGGCGACTGCCACTGGCAGCCGACGGTATCGACTGTGATGTTAGTTGTTGCGCAGATCTTCGTAAAGCTTGTAATGTTATTTTGTTTTTTAATAATATTAATCAGTAATAAAGAAATCAGTTACTCCGTATTCATTTAGGTCATACTCTTGTAAACAACGGAAAATTAATTGCAGCTTGCTTTAATCATTAAGGGTATTATGGTCAGATTCTTTTAAAACTTCCGTGTTAAACTTAAATCAGGCATAAGACTCCTATTTTGGCATAATTTCTATGTTTTGCTCCCATATTGGGAATTCTCTCAAATCTAAACAAGTAAAACAACTCACCTACGCTGCGCCAGAGCTGGTCCGCTGGAGGCAGAGCCCAGAGAGGCGGAGAGGAAGGACGACCGTAGGCCGTTGACGCAGCTCATGGACCAGTTGGAAGGCTGGACGCGCGGCGTGGATGGCAGAGGGTCGCAGGGTGTTCGGTCTCCCGCCTCTTCGTCGCAGCCCCGTCTTTCTTCGATTTTCTTTCGCGTCGGTAAGCTAGGAACGCACGATAACAGGTAAGTTGAATTTGGTATTGGGTTGTGGGCTGAGAATTAATTTTGGGGTGAGCTGGCAATAAATTTTGGGATGGGCTGATAGCCTGATAATAAAACCTTAAGGTAGTGTTTGGTTCGAGGTAATGGGGACGTATGTTTTTTGGCGTTTCATGACCAAAACGTTGGAAATGTCAGCGCTTTTATTTGTTGGAAAACGGCGATTTGCTCTAATCCGCAAATATCCAAATGACCCCAATATCTTATACAATTCGAAATCTGATGTCCGGGATGTGAGATATATGTGTTTGATTTGTGAGTTTGATGTTGATGGAGTATTAACTCATAGAGAAAAGTGAGAACTAGAGAGAGAAGTGCAATAATTCTTTGCAAAAAATGATTTGTGAACCCCCACAACTACTCCTAGAGAAAGTATTTATAGGGAAAAAGCGGGCTGGGCTCCCAAGCCTTGGGAGGCCCATTTACAATAGGGCCTCTAATGGGCCGAACACAAAGTGTACAGAAATGACTAAGTATACAATCCCGTTCTAGAGGCTATCTATGGCCGATGAGGGCATGGCCGATGAGGGCATGGCCGATGAAGACCCGGCCGACGAGGTCACCCGGTTCTCCTAGCTTATGGATTATATTCTGAGTAGACTTCTTTCTGGCCAATGGAGGTCATCCGGCCAACGGGGCCCCCACCAGGTGATCGTGGTACCTTCTATTCTTCTGAGTATGTGGGTCCTGGGGCCTAGACCCATATACTCCATCAGGAGTCCCCCACTCTCTAAGTTGAGACGTTTGACGAAGTGAAGTAGAGTAGATTTTTGTTTGTGCTTTTTTTGTTTGGCCGTTGTGTGCTCCTCGACGTGGACGAAGAGGGTCTTAGTCATGCGGATGATGCATGCTTTTCTGTTTAAGGACGACGAGTGCCTTCGCTTGGTGGAGACGATGAGCGTCCTCTGTCATGAGTGGCCGATGAAGACGGTGCTTCCTTGTTCCTGACCGTTGATGGTTGAATTTCGTGTTTTGGGCCGAGGAGGCCATTGTGGTTATCTTTTGTTTGAGGACGACGGGTGTCCTTTTGTTTCTGGGTGGCCGGTGAGGGTGTTGTTTGCTTTCTTTGGCCGTCGTAGCTCTCATTCTGTGCTTTTGGCCGAGGAGTGGTGATATCCGTAGCTTGGCATCCATGTTTTTGAGGAGTAGTGCGTATCCTGGTCTCGTGGACGACGATGATCTGAGGACGTTGAGTTCCTGTTTTAATTCATGGCCGAGAGTGGAGTATGTGGTCTCAAAGCCGTTGAGTGCCATGTGATCTTAGGTGTTGCATCCTTGGAGGGAATTATGTTTGTTGACTTTGCTGCGGCCGACGGTGCACCATAAGGTTATGGACGTTGTGGTGCATATATGATCTGATGTTGTAGTTGTGGACTTAGTATATTTTTGGATTTCTTTGATTTTGTCATCTTGATTTCCAGAGGTCGGTGTAGTCCCCCAGTCCCCCACTGCTTCAGGCCAAAGAGTGAGTGAGGGGTGAAGGAGTAAAGGATACCCCCAGGCCGAAGCGGGGTTCTTGTATTCCTCTGAATCCAATCCCTTGGCGATTTCCTGACCAAGGTAACCCTGTGGGAGAACCCTTGGACGCAGGTCGCTTTCAAGAAATTATCATCAGGGTTTTATACAAGGCTGATGGCTGTGGGGTTGCTTTTTGCTTTGTTGTTGTGGCCGTTGAAAGGGCCATGCTATTGCTATTCTGCTTGGGCCGATATGGGCACACTTTGTGGCGTGACCTACCCTTTTGAAATTACTGTTGGTCATTGGGGCCGATGTAGGTGTGCTTTCTTAGTGTGGTCGTTGAATGGTTGGCCGTCACGGACGCTGATTACTGTCACGTTGGTGATGGGTTGGTACCGATGGAAGTGGGCCTGACCCGTCTTTTGAATCGGTGCCAGCCCAATGGGCCCTGGGGTTAGTGGCCGTTCATGTGGCCAACGGGTGTGTGCCACGTGTAGTGACCGTTGGAGGGGGAGGTCTATAAATACCCCCTCCCTCAGAAGAGGCTCCCCATTGCATTCTTGAGATAACGAAGTGCTGCCCAATTTTCTAGAGAGAGAGACTTGTTCGTGTGTTCTTCCGTTCTTCAAAACTTCAAAGGTCTGTTCATCGAACTTTTCTCCACTTCCTTGCATATTTTGCTTCTTTTAGACCTTGATCCAGTGTTAGTCACGAGGACACCTCAGATCTGAAGTAGCCCCCCTTAGAATTGTGATATCTGTTATAATGAAGACCTTAGACGAAGAGTACTACCCTTACGACGATGAGGCCTCTGTTAAGTCCCTTGACTACCGAGTGGTGGAAGAGTGCTGTGAGGAAATTGAGGACCTGAGTTCTTTGAAGACGGGGGAGCAAGAGGACGATGAAGGTGCGGGTGAGGAGGTCGCTTCGTCGTCTGAAGGGGAAGATGTAGGGGTCTCCTGTGCATGGACGATGTGTCTACTTCGACCGCCATTCCTTGCCCGAAACCGGTTTCTGTCGTCAAGGGAGCCACCCCAAAGAGGAGGCGACGGCCGATGAAAGGCCCATGTTTCTCCTATCTAGACCTTAGCAACATCTACCTCATCAAGCCGCAAAGTGGTGCGGCTGACTACTTAGTTGCCCAGATGTACATAGGGCCTTTTGGTAGGGTTAGGCCTCCTAGACCGACGGACCACGTTCTTAATCCTCCATCGGGGTATTTTGAGGTGTACCCAATGAGCTTTGCGAAAGGACTTCGCTTCCCGCTTCATCCTTTCATCACGGAGTACTTGGATATGGTGGGGCTTCCCCTGGCCTTGCTGTCCCCGAATAGTTATTCCCTGATCGTCGGGTTTCTCCTTCGCTGCGCTGAGTTGAACTACAATCCGACGACGGCTCTGTTCATGAACCTATACCAGATAGGCCGAGGCAGCCACCAGAATTGTGCCGGCTACGCCAACCTTCAACAGCTGCCGAAGAAGATGAGCTTTACTGACCTTCCCTCGTTTATCCATGGTTGGAAAAGCAAGTTCGTTTTTGTGTCGTTGGGTGAGGGAGGCACTGAGTTTCCTTCCGTCGGCCACAGTGGTAGATTCACCCTCCATGATGTGCCGAGGAGTACCATCTTGGACGCTCAAGTGGCTGCATTTTTGGAAGGGGGGTCGAGGAGCGTAAAAGATTACATTACGGAGTATAAGATGACCGCCCTCGGCTTCTTCAGGTACTTCGTCTATGGTGACAAGGAGGATGATGTTGAGTTATGGCCGAAGATGACCACCACCTATGAGGAGGCCGATGGTCCGGATTTGGGCTTGCCCGCCGAAGCTGATGGTAATGCCCTCTCCAGCGCCCTTGTTCCCGGTTTGTTTCCTTTATTTGCTAACTTTGTTTTTTTTGTTATGCAGACTTTGTGATGGACCGCAGATCCGTCATGAGTAGGGCTAAGGCGAAAACCGCTGAGGAGCTGGCGGCCTTCAACGACATCGTCGACGGCCATGACATGCTCTCCCAAGCTCTCCCGGTCGAGGACCGAGTTTATCTTGACAAACTTGGTGACGTCAAGATTTACGATGGTGGGATGGACCTTGTCGTCCAAGTGAGTTGCTTTCGCGCACCTTTGTCTTCTTGTGTTTCATTGTAATGTGCCGTCGTTGTCTAACCCTTTTATGTTTTGCAGGGTGCCTTCGTGTTGATGGAGAGCAACAAAAGGCAGCAACGGGAAATTGCTCGGCTAAGAGAGGTCGAGCAGAAAGCTGCCTCGGCCGAGGAGTCCATGAGTTGCCTAGATCGGTTGTGAGCCGATGTGACGGACCTGCAAAGGAGGGCTGATGAGGCCGACGCGGCCTACCGCCAAGTAGTTGCTGCTAGGGATGACGCCCTGGCCAAACTTGTCGAGGAGAAGGCGGCGCGTGAGGAGGCCGAGAGAGCCAAGGCTGAGACCGAGAAAGCCAAGGTTGAGGCCGAGGCTGCTGCGGAAAAGGCCGCCGATGTTGCCATCGAGAAGTTCTTGGCCGAGGGCTGGAAGGTCGAGGAACGCCTGCCCTGGTGCTATGAGGTTGTGGCGGCCAAGCTCGAGGCTTGGGGCGAGAACTCTCCTGCCGTCCAGGAGTATTTTGAGAGGGAAATGTCGGTGTATTACGACATGGGCCAGCAGAGGATGCAACAGCTACTCTACCGGAGGCTGTGCCGCGCTTTCAAGAAGCTGAAGGTTACCCGGAAATGGGCCAGGAAGCACCTGAAGCTTCCCAAGAACATGAAGGACCCCGAGACCGGAGCGAAGCTCCCCCCTTCCGAGAGACAGGCGCCTATACCCAGCTCCTCCATCGGTGAGTCGGATTGGTCCGACAATGACGCCTTGGCCGACACCGCTGTCTCCGCAGTTGTCGAGGCCAGTGCAGATGTGGAGACGGAGGAGGGCACCGAAGCTGCTGTTGAGCAAACCGATGTGGGGCTAGTTGCTGATGAGGTCGCCCCAGATAATTGATCGGCTAACCCTCTTTTCCTTTTCTGTAATTCAGTAGCTTAGGCAGGTGCTGTTGCGTCTTTATTTTGTAATGGCCGTTGTGCCCCCATGTACCTCTCTTTTGATGAATGAAAATATGCTTGTCTCTTTCGGC